CTTATGGTTCAGAATCTTGTCCAAAGATACTTTGAAATGTAGACTTGGGGAGCCAGGGATTGAACCACCGAACTTGGCAGACAACCCGCTCTACCACCTGAGCCACAGTCAGGTGGTCTGTCATCTCTGTTTATCTCACTGTAATAAAAGTAATTGCACACCACTGTGTTGGAATAGTCCAATCACAAGCCCCTAGATGGGGTGCTGGTGAGTATTTGTATATGTTCAGAGCAGCTGCCTGCTGCTAAAAGTAAGTAGATATGAGCTGTTAGAGAATCAAAACAGCAATGCTGAAAAGCAGGCTGTAAAATAAAAAACAATGTGCTTAAAGACACTAAAACAAGCTGCAGAGCTCAAGGGATACAATGATGAGAAATGTGTCACTGTAAAGAACATTTCATCACCCAAACTGGGAGGCTATAGGGTTTTTGCAGAAACATGACCGCTTACCACGTGACAAGGGTTCCCGTTTTAGCCGGGGCTATTGTGCTTGTGTCCAGTCACAGCCATCAGTGATGGCCCATCATGCACACCAGATGTGAGGATGTGCACCAGATGTGTGATTCATAAAAATAAGGTGCCGTTTGGTCCATTTTGGATGTGTAATAATCCTGAAATACGGTTTACTAAACATAGTAAACATATACTCTCTTGGAGGAAGTACATTTTCTTGACAAGCATCTTGCTTGTTATTTGGAAAAACTCGGCAAGGCATATGGATAGCCATAATTTTCCATCAGTGTGTTCTGCTGTTAGCTCCTGTTCACCGGTATTCACGGCTGTTACTGAAACTTTTTTTGAAATGGATTTGACGTTGGCAGACTCGTACTTAGCAAATAAACTCTTGTGATGTGAAAGTGAAATCAAACTGTTAATCAGAGGGAAATTAAGTTTTAGGATGCTAGAGGCTAATGTTAGCTTGCATGACTAGCTTGCATGGTTAGCTTGTTACGTTGTCGCTTAGCCATCTCTTGTTACCTGTCCAGAGACGGGAGGGTCACATCTGCTGACAATAACTCATTGCAGTAATATCAAGATTAAATAATTATGTTCATATGAGACTTCTTATGTTAGAACCCTAACGTTAGTTTAGGAGGAAGAGGATGAAATGGAGATGAGAAGGCGAGAATTGTGCTGGAGGAGGCAGACGAAGAAGAAATAATGAAAATATCAACGTAAAAATTTTAAATGGTACATATTGTTTGAAACAGATACTGGTTATTTAAAAAATTCAACTAACCCATAATTGTTATACTGTTATACTATTTATCTGATGCCTTTATTCATTAATTTTTTTTCTCGTATTCTTCTATCTAAAAAACATGATTAGAAAAAGATTTTCCCTCTGTCCTTGATTGTCCTTGATGATTACTGCACCTAACCCCGCAGCATGTAGGCGTTGTGAGGGAAAAGTAGTGATAATTTCTATGTAAACAACGGATTAGTGATGATTACGTCCAACATGGCAGACAGGTCTTGAGTGACGTGCGCATGACGTCCTCTGTATGTAACGCCTCTGTATGATTTCAGAATCTGCAAAACGTATTATTAATATCACAGTTGAAATTATCCTTATTATCTAGGTTTGATTAGTTAGCTGCATATTGTTTGTAGTATTCAGATCACTGACTTTCACTTGTGTTGTCTATTTTTCACACATCCTCTTAAATTACACAGTTGTTAAACACTAATCTTTCCTTAAGCTGTGTTTTTATCCCAGCATGGATTCTATTTAGTTTCCACCTAGGCTGGGTGATGAATGAAAGAAGGTAAGAAGGAATAAAAGGAGTAGTCTTCAACAAAGTTTCTTGTTAACAGTCACAAAGAATTGCTGCAGGCATCTATTGAGATAAACAGAAAGCCTTCTTCTGTGTTCTTCAGCTTCATGTTCTGGTCCCATTTACTGATCATAATAAATCTATAGCTTTTTAAAGGCCAAACTGTTCTGTTTTAAAGAGCAGCGCAGCGCTTTGTCCTACAGTAACCTCTGGTCATGACTGTTGTCGACTACTCTTATTACATTACAGCTTGTGGGCACATTTCATTTCTAACAGGAAACTCCCTCCTTGCTTCTCTCCTCCTCTTCAGCCCTACGTTCTTGCCAGATGCCTGCCTACAGTTTAGGAATCAAAACAGGACTCAGACGATCAGCATTTTTATGACTGCGTATTCAGGCCACATTAGCAAAAGTGTCCAAGAGCAGAGCAGGAAAGGAGGAAACTGTTTTTTTGCTTTGAAGCTGGTCCCAGTTCCTTCCAGGTGTTCCCCTCCCATTCCCCATGCAGTCAAGCACAGCTAGAAAACACTGACAGCCAAAACATGATATGTGTAGAGAGCTGTAGCTTCCTCTTAGCTTTGTAGATTACCGAAGTGAGAGGTGGTGCAGCATGCAGCAGGATTCAGAGTACTGGAAAGTAATTACAGGATTGAAACCTGCCTGCTGCTTTTTTTTTAAAGCCAGATTTACTGTGCTGTAATCCCTGCTGTCATTTAGCACTGCAGGAAATTCAGATTGGTGTCACTTCTATGAGACAATCTCTGGTATTATCAGAGAGCAGGTGACTACAGAGAAATGAAAGGAGAGAAGCTGGTAAATTTGCCTGCCAGTACCGCAAAACTGTCGATATTTGAAGATTCATGTTTCTTTCTTCCAAGATTTGTTGGGGAATGTTGTGCATCTGTTACTATCCTTTTTCAATCACTGTTTCTGCATGTGTATTTTTATATCGATGCTAATGTTTCCTTGGACTTGACAATTTTTTGCTGTGTTTCTTGTTGTTTCTTTTGATGTGAATCAATGAATGTTAGACGAGTCAAATGGAGTCTACTCATAACAGACCTTTGCATGGACACCGGACACAAAGGGAAATTAGCATTCAATTTGACATGTGATTCTGGCCAAATGGTGAATTAAAGTCAAACTTGTTTCCTATTTACTTATTTGTCTTCAACAAGAACATAAAAAGTCTCATTTAGTGCCAGTAAATAGATATATCAGACTATTCATGTAAGCTGGGACCCAAAAACAAAAACCCCAAGAAGACAGCTCCAAATAGCCCCTTAGCTTTTTTAAGATACCTTTGTTTCCCACAGTGCATTCGAAACTATCACTAAGAACAGTACTCAAGATTTCTGGTTTCTGTACTGTACACTGTACACAGATATTTCACACTATAAGCTTGTTATAAAAAGACTGAGTGTGAATAAAAATACTTTCACACCATTTCTATACTTGTTATTTTCTCACATGCTGGTACATTGTCACTGTAAACCTCGTAGCAAATGTTGATCTACAGTTGTGGTCAAAAGTTTACATACACTTGTAAAGAATATAATATAATGGCTCTACCGAGTGTCCCGTTATTTCTAAAACTCTGATTTTTCTCTGATAGAGTGATTGGAACAGATACTTCTTTGTCACAGAAAACATTCATGAAGTTTGGTTCTTTTATGACTTTATTATGGGTTAACAGAAAAAAGTGATCACATCTGCTGGGTCAAAAATATACATACAGCAGTGCTAATATTTGGTTACATGTCCCTTAGCCATTTTCACTTCAATTAGGCGCTTTTGGTAGCCATCCACAAGCTTCTGGTTGAATCTTTGACCACTCCTCTTCACAGAATTGGTGCAGTTCAGTTAAATTTGATAGCTTTCTGACATGGACTTGAAAACATGTGGACAATGCTGAAGAACAGCATTGTCCACATGTTTTCAATGGGGTTTAAGTCAGGACTTTGGGAAGGCCATTCTAAAACCCTTATTCTAGCCTGACTTAGCCATTCCTTTACCACTTTTGATGTGTGTTTGGGATCATTGTCCTGTTGGAACACCCAACTGTGCCCAAGACCCAACCTTCGTGCTGATGATTTTAGGTTATGTTGAAGAATGTGAAGGTAATCCTCCTTCTTCATTATCCCATTTACTCTCTGTAAATCACCAGTTCCATTGGCAGCAAAACAGCCCCACAGCATAATACTCCCACCACCATGCTTGGCTGTAGGCATGGTGTTCTTGGGGTCAAAGGCCTCACCTTTTCTCCTCCAAACATATCGCTGGGCATTGTGGCCAAAAAGCTCGATTTTTGTTTCGTCTAACCACAGAACTTTTCTCCAGAAGGTCTTATCTTTGTCCATGTGATCAGCAGCAAACTTCAGTCGAACCTTAAGGTGCTGCTTTTGGAGCTAGGGCTTCCTTCTTGCACGGCAGCCTCTCAGTCCATGGAGATGCAAAACACGTATGACTGTGGACAATAACACCTGTGTTCCAGCAGCTTCTAATTCTTGGCAGATCTGCTTTTTGGTGATTCTTGGTTGACTCTTCATCCTCCTGACCAATTTTCTCTCAGCAGCAGGTGATAGCTTGTTTTCTTCCTGATCTTGGCAGTGACGAAACAGTGCCATGCACTTTATACTTACAAACAATTGTTTGCACTGTTGCTCTTGGGACATGCAGCTGCTTTGAAATGGCCCCAAGTGACTTTCCTGACTTGTTCAAGTTAATAATTTGCTTTTTCAGATCCATGCTGAGCTCCTTTGACTTTCCCATTGTAGCGTTTGTGGGCGTTTGTATCCAATGAGCCCTATTTAACCTGTCTAAGAGAAGTCAGCAGCTGTAGTCACTCATAATCACTCACAAGAAGTTAAGAGGCCATGCTATGAAGCTCAGTTCACTGACAACTTTGTAAGTCACCAAAATTGCTAATTCATGTTGCTGTATGTATATTTTTGACCCAGTAAATGTGATCACTTTTTTCTGTTAACCCATAATAAAGTCATTAAAGAACCAAACTTCATGAATGTTTTTTGTGACAAAGAAGTATCTGTTCCAATCACTCTATCAGAGAAAAATCAGAGTTTTAGAAATAACGGGACACTCGGTAGAGCCATTATATTATATTCTTTACAAGTGTATGTAAACTTTTGACCACAACTGTATGTCTGCCTAACAAGCATTACTAGAATAACAACATAGCAAAAGGATTAGTGTTTTTCTTTTTTCTTTTTTTTAATTTTATTTCTGCAAATAGGAAAATAGCATTTCTGGTATTCAAAAAAAACAAACAAACAAAAACAAAACAAAAAGAAAATATCGCCTGTGCTCAGGCATCACAGAGAGAGAGAGAATTGGATGATGATGATTAGGGAATACAGGTCTGGATGTAGGTCAGTAGAAGCAGCCTGGGGAGGCTCAGACACAAAGACAGCACTGGTTCAGACAGATAAACACGTCTGCCCGTCTGTTTCTACGCTACAGAGCATGGCTGCTTGGAAAGAATGAAACCTAGGGTTTCCAGAATGCTAAGAATCACAGATATAAGAACGATTGCTGTGTAAATAAGTGCTCTATTTTTGCGCTTATCCATAAGCACCAGTGTTGCTCCAGCTAAAGTTAAGACTGCCGGTAGTTATAAGTGCCTGTTCAACAGAGATAATCCAGCTATGTGAGGTGTTACGCTTGTAATTACAGCCTATTTTGTGAAGCACCGGTAGGTTAACAAGCACCACAATGTTGAGATCTAATAACACACGGTAATACCGACCGCCACGGGCAGTTGAACCTTCCTTACAAAAATTGCTTCACTATTTTTTTTTCGCATTTTGCTGTTCCAGTGCATTTTATGGAACTGCCATAAGAGCAGGAGTGTTTTCTGACTGTTTCTCACTTTTCACTAGCACAAGTGCACTTGAGACCAGCAGACTCAGCTTAATGGTTTATGTGAACGGGTAGAGCGGGACTCCAAATCCCAGAGCATAATCAGTCCGACATTCCACAGACTGATCGCGCTACAATCAAACTCACATAACAGACTGAAAACCTCTCCAGGAACACCACTGAATAGCTTAATGCGCTGATTGAAAATCCTTGGATTTCAAAACAAACAAACATCTATATAAAGGCTACAAGCTGTACACGTCATCTGTGTCCTTAATATTCAGTACACATTATATTGAATATGCTAATACAAATGATTGGATAGATGTTAGCTGCCTTTCCAGCTATTCATACTATTAGCTTTTCTTGCTGCTATAACCAAAAAAATAAACGTTTACAGTAAGTGCTACTGTAAATTTAAAAAAAGAGCAAAGTTTCACATCACTGTTGCACCTTATAGGCCCATAACTACTTTGTGTGTGTGTGTGTGTGTGTGTGTGTGTGTGTGTGTATGTTTTTTAAGCCACATCAATGGGCTGCACAATGATTTCCAGAGAACAAAGAGCTTATAAACCGTATAAACGAAGGTGTCATTTTCATCCTCCCACAGAGGGCCAGAACAGGGATTTCAGGTTTGGCAACCCCGTGTTCAGAGTCACAGTTAAATAAGAGCAGTCATATGATAACAGCAGGCTCAACAGAGGTTTTGTGAAATGGACAAAGGCATCGATAAAGAGATTAGGACATACTGGGACTGAGAAAAGGCATACAGGTCCAAAGCATTTTGGATCACGACTGGATGAATGCGATCAAGGCCAGAGGTGTGGTCCAGAAAACAGTGAGTTTTGCTCAACTTGGCCAAATTATCAGGGACACCAGCAGTTCAATACGACTAAACTATCTCTGCTGTGAGGAGCCTCGGCATCCCTCTGAAAGTACTTTCAGAAGAATTCAGAAATTGGGAGCGGGTTTCCGAACTCTCTCGCGCGTATCGCGTTAACGATTAGAACACATAAGTGCAACAACGGAAGCTTCATCTGAACCATTTGAACCCTGAAGTTTACCTTTGAGGAAGCAAATCGATTGCAAAAGTAGAAAAAAAAAGATTCTATAATTACAGATGCTCCCATTACTGGTTAGCACTCTACTTCCCACAGCACCTGGCAGCTTGGTAACTGGAGCAGTGGGGCACGCAGTGGTTACAAGAGGATCCCTTATAAGAATGTCTGCTGCTCTGCATTCTGCCACGCATGAGTGCGCAAAGGCCAGGAAATCCACTTTGAGCTGACTTTTTCCTGAGGTGGCTGCTAGCTCGGTACAATATGAGCAGCTCACAAGGAGCACTGAAGGTAAAACAGAGGGGAGGAAGAGACGGGACAGAAACTTTGAAGTGAAACGGCAGCCAACTCCCGAGATTCTTCTGAAAGTCCAGCTCGTAAAGCACCAAAAGTCCTGAGGAGGCCCGGACCCTCACCGCGCTGCCCAAATCGAAGCTGGGCAAGGGAGGCACGGCAGGTGTGGGTGGGTGGATGCTGGGCAGGGGTCAGGTCAGCTGAGGGTATCACACGGTGGCTCTGATAATCCTGCTGGGCCTGGAGCTGCGGTGGACCTTTGTGTGTTTGGAGAGGTGGTCGCTGCGGGCAAACTTCTTCTCACACAGTGAGCACTCGTAAGGCTTGACGCCCGAGTGAGAGCGGCGGTGACGAGACAGTTCGTCGGAGCGGGAGAACCTGGAGACACAAGAACAGAGGGTCGGTGTTATCCACAGCTTGAAGGAGGTTTAGAGACACACCAGCTAACATATCCATTAATCGGGACATACCAAATCCCTTCCTCCCAATGATGGATAAGATTACACAAATTAATATTGGATTTATTATATGAATCAAATCCATTCTCATGTTTTGCAGTTAAAGATGAAATATTTGTAGAACTTCTGCCAGCAGATCTCCTGTGTGGGAGGTACAGTAAAGGTTCAGGAACTTCTGGGGCCGAGCGAGCTGATTGGTCAAATGTTTTTGTGCTTTTGTAAGTTTTTTAAAAAAAAAAAACCTGCAGGTCATGTTTAGCATTCACAGAATAAAAGTGGGAACTGTGGCATAAAGAGAAGGATTTATCTTGTAATTGCTCACAGTCTGTCATTTAGTCCTGTAACAGAGAGAGTAGAACAGCTAAGAAGTGACTATTATCTTCACTGAGCTTCAAACTTAGATAAGGAGTTAAAACAAGTCTCAGTCCCTTTGGAAGTCCCTGACATCAATCCTCAAAGCTAAAAGGCATTAAAAGTCTTTAATGACACAAACGTAATCACCGTTCCTTATTAAGACTGAATAAGCTGGCAATGGGTAACAGGAGACTGAGAGGCTGAAATCAATATTTAGCAGATAAAAATGAGAAAATGATCATATGAAACAGTTTCCGCACGCTCAGTTACAAATGATTCTTTATTAATATGAAGCACTCCAGTGTGTTAACAGCCCTGGAAAAATCAGATTTTTTTACCTCAACAATCATTTAAGGCACCACTTCAGCAGCTGAGGAAGGCCTTGTGCAGACACTGTAGCACAGGCTCAAACACCCCTCTCTCTTCATATCAGTGAGACCACCCGGGGAGACCAACGTTTCATGTTTAATAACTACCATCTCAGTCTCATCGGTGATCACCATCACATCTCAGCTCACCTCACAGGTACTTTTCAACCACCTTTGCCCCGCCCTAAAACACACAATATCATAATAATGTATGTATGATCCCTATCTTACAGTTAACTGAACGCCGAATGGTGACCTTACAACTGCGTTCACCATGCGCATGCTTGTTGACGTTTCATGCACATTTGGTACGTTCATCTATTTTGTTGATGTTCTATATTTGTTAACGGTTTTTATCTTCGACAAAATAAGCCAGTGTAAAACTGCTTAAAAGTGCAGCAGAGCAGGCGACATCAGCATGAAGATAAGATCCCGAAGGCTGGGTGAGCATAATCATATCATGAGACACTTTCTGAAGCAACCTGCTGGGTATTAAATCCTCAATATCTATTTGATTATTTATGTTATTCATATTATTTTGATGCATTCCAAATTTCAAATAGTTTCATTGTTCATAATAAATTTGTTATATTTTTACTAAACTACATGCAGGTCTTTGCTAGCCTTTTAGATTTTTTCGTCAAGACGTCAAGATGAACATAATATAAAGAATCTAACATCATGCTGTTTTGAAGAATACTTGAATCTCATAAACTCATGAGCTAAACATTTACTAAGGCCACAGATCAAGAGTCATTTTACTGTGGGCTTCGATATAATCGGACTTCATTTTGCAGCCAGAGGTGCTGCCCCCTACTGACTGTTAGAAGGAATGCAGGTTTTAGCCACCTCTATACTGGCTTCACTTCCCAGAACTGGAAGCTTCACACATCTTTTAAGTAAACTGTTTTTACATGAAGGTATTCATATAAAGTTATGCTAATTTATGTGCATAATATTGTCAATTGACAAAATAGCTTTGACAATTGACTGCTGATTACCATCAAACCTTTGGAGCCAAAGGGAAAAAAACACTAGACAAAAAGCACTTCTAGACACAAAGCTTAATGGGCTGTTAACCAGGAAGATGCTTTGTTAAACTCGTAAAGTATAACCGAGATGGAAACTGAAATTCTTTGTTGCTATGAAAGTATTCTGTGAATGCATAACAAACCCTTGTGAATAAAGGAGCAGCTGAAATTGTTTATTCTTCTTCCGTTTCCTCATATTGTAATAAACGTACCGTGGCGTGTTTGTGCAAGGTCTGTTGCTCTAACTAGTCTTGCTGGATCAGGCCATCTGCTTAATCAGTGCCAACAATCAATCATGGGGAAAAACCCCTAAAACCTCATCTTAACTGTTAAACCTGCTACAGTCTGCATCATGTTCCATACCTCCACCCACACTCGGGCCAGCTACACGTGTAGGGTTTCTCTCCTGTGTGACGGCGGAAGTGAGCTTTCAGGTGGCTGCTTTTGGTGTACATCTTCCCACAGCCTGGGTGGGAGCACTTGTGGACCCTTTCAGTAGGTGGCACCCTCGTCATCCGAGGAGCCATTGCTTTTAGCACACCGCCTCCATGGCCCCCGACCCCAGTCAAGCCTGTGATCTCCAGAGTCCTCATAGTGATTGGCAGAGGGGCGATCTTTACATACTTCTGGTCAGTTGGCTTGTTATCACCACTGTTTAGTGATAACAGAGTGGTGTGGGTGGAGGGCACCTGGGGAGCCAGCAGGGTTACATTTTGTCCTGTAGCACCTTGAAGCCCCATGACCACATGGGTGAGCAAAATCCCACTTTGGGCCCCTGCAGGAGAGCCTGCTGGATTCTGGGCCTGGGCCAACGGAAGAGGCTGGAGTTGGAGCACCAAAGGAGCACCCAGGAGCACCGGTGGGGACAAGGTGGGTGGTGAGGGGTTAACTTGGGCACAAGAAGAAGGGTCAGCTGGAATGGGGCTATTTTTCCCGCCTTGAGTGGCATCTGAGCTAGACGTGCATTGGGAGGCATCAGTCTTTGGATCATTGATAGTCTCTGAGGAAGCAACCGGGAGAGCCGAGGCAGGTGGAGAGTCAGCGGAGCTGCATGGTTGAGGGGAGGCCTCCTCCTTTGGAACAACCATCCCATCTTTGACTATTTCCATCTTTTCCCTCAAAAACTCTTCGATGTCCTCCAAGGTTGGGGAAAACGGGGAACAGGGGTGGAACGAGAATTCAGGCAGCTTAGGCTCCTGACTGGCAGCTTCCCCTTCTCCCAATTCTCCCAAGAAAATATGGAGACGCTTTTCTCCATCCTCATCCTCCTCCTCTTCTTCATCTTCCTCATCCTCTCCTGGGCTGGAGCTGTGCAGAACCTCCACTTCCCTGGCTTCTGGGCTGTTGCAGGAGGCCGAACTGCCCCCCTGGCTGCGATCTCCGTCCCCGAGGTCAAGGGAGAAGAGGCTGCTGCTGTCCCTGAACAGGTCATTTTCCAAACTCAGCATTCTGCTGCTGAGAGACACCATTGATCCTGTCCGAACGCTGCAGATGTAGGGGATGTAGAGGAAACTCGATCCAGAAGAGGAGACACAAAGACCTGCAAAGGCAGCAGTGAGACCAGATTTTATTACCCAGCAGAAAGTAAAAAGGCAGGAGGGCCTGAGGACCTCAATGACTCGATTATTGACTTCAAAATAAATATAGTCGATGCATTTGGCAACAAAAAACATTTTTCTCCTTCAGTTTTTCTCCTTAATATTCAAGTCAAAGTTATATTGTAAACTCTGATTATGTCAGATGGTTAAAACTAATACTGGAACACAGAAAAAGAAATGAGCAAATACTCTAATGATGCGCTGAATCACACACATATCTGTATAAACGTACCAGGTGGTCCAATATCGATAATATCTAGAAAAACATATGCAGGGTAGTTGGGGTAATGGCATCATTTAAAATTTCTCTTTTAATACTGGATGTCCATACATATAACAAGTTTTGGCAGATGAGTGCATGGCATCCTCTCAGTCACACTATTGCAAAACTTTTCATGCATAGCAGCATATTAGGACCCCTGCGGACAGCTGGGTCTAAGCCCCCCCCCCCGAACCAATACACTGTTGGAGTTTACCGATCTATCTTATTAGCAGTTTTTAGACATATAAGAGTCTTGAAAAATCTCTGTGGTGATATTTCATAACAAATGTCCTGGGGATGAGCTGAATGATTTGCTGCTGCACGCAAACAAGGTTAAACATGATTGGGTGCTCTCCCGCTGGTACATGCATACTTTCTGGGCAGTTTATTTCCTGCTTCTGTGAAGAGAAAAGTAAGAATGTATGAGCAGGAGTGTGAGAATTCCTTGGTGGTGCAATGCAGAGTCTACTCCCAGTTAGTGTAAGTCTCTGGTCCTCACTTGGATAAATAAATACTTTGAGCTCTAATATAACGTTAAACAAGTCAGGTACTAAACGTGGACTCTGACAAAGGGCCCGTGCAGCACGCTGCTACAGCATCAGGGCACAACAAATCTGACTGTCATTGTACTTCAGCAAGGTTACCACCTTTCAACTATCCACTCGAGTGAGAACGTGGGAACCCCAGGGGGTGAGGGGTGGGGGTGGGGGGTGTTAGTCATTTGGGTTGAGGCGGCCCTTTAAATAGAGGCGCTGCTGTACATTTACAGTATTACTAAGTATCAATACCAAATTTTCAGACAGTTGATTGCTCATAAAAGCGTTTTATTTACTCAATGAATGCCACACACTGGAAATCCTGTTCCTGTGTGAGGATAACTCATCTAACCACAGCAGCTTATGATACAACTAAAACATTTTTATTGTCACCGGGCTATTTCCTGCCCAGTTATTTTAGTGACTAACAAACATGTCTGTTTATACTGCTTAGAATAATCCATGTAAGGCTACATGTTGCATTTTAGTTATATTTATTTGTTTACAAGCATGCCAATAATAAACCACAATAAACCTGTGGCTCCACTCTGTCGCCTTGGAGATGCACATGTCTGGAGATCCAACAGCTAGAAGCAAAAGGGCGGGCTACCAGGGGTGCCACCAATGGGGGTGCTGGGGGGGCACTGGCCACCCCCTCAAATTTTGCTGGTAGTGGCTTCCCATTACAAGACTGTCCTATGTTGGTAATTCTAATAAACGTGAGCACAAGAGAGAGGACGCCACCCTCTTATTTGATTTTCATATGTACCTATTTTCTAACTAGGCATAGAATTCTTCTCTTTTTTCCCCATATTTTTCAAGTAACCTATGTTTGACAACAGCATAATAAAATTGGAAATCATATTTTTGGTGTGCCACCCCAATATTTTTATGGCGACCCCTATGAAAGAATTCTGGCAGTGTGTCTGCTGTCAAACCAGGGTTCACATGGACTGAGGCCTCTTCTTTAACGCTACACCACAGGTGCCCTGTAACCACAGGCTGGCTTTTATTTTGTGTGCTTTTGCAGCTTTTATTTTTTAAAGTCATTTCCTAAGCTGCAGTGCATTTGACCTCTCACGTCCATCGCAGTGTTGGTGCTGAAACACAGAAAAAGCCTGATGTGAACGCTAAACAGTGTAAGAAACAGCAACCCTGTCTAGAGTTATGCAACAAGTGCTGGGACCCCAAAACGCATCGGGACTCAGATTTAATCCGATGGAGGGTCCCCGGGAGTGCGTTTACATCTCCTCACATGTCCGCAGCCCTTATGTTTAAAGCCAGCGTCCTGATCACAATAACCTCGTGTGCTTATGTAAAGGCTGTTTGTGGGTGCTGTCAGAGGGCACATGTGGCAGCAGGGCCTCGCTGCTCGCGCAGAGCACGGCCGCTTACGCAGGGTAAACAAGGGCCGCACAGACGCGCCCACAAACACGCCAGAGAGCGCGAGCGTCGGATCACCGAGAGAGAAAAGATGGAAAATCCACGGCGCGACTGCCTGAGAAACGAGCGAGCGCTCCTCCGACAGCATGGCAGTACAACTGTGCCCACTCAGACATCCACGAGCCTCAAGTTCGCCTGGGTCATAAAAACTGCTCTATTTATACTCCTCGGTCTTTCCGGAGGAGTCGAGCGGCGCGATCCCGGCGGCTGCTTCGACCTACCGTGCTTCAGAGCGGGGAGAGTGTTCGCGGAGGTGGCGCAGTCCACGACTCTCCGTGTTTCGCCTTTATTTCTCGTCTCCGTCGTGTTATTGTCGTCGCGCACTCGCGTCCCGTCTTTGCCACGGGTCCATGTTGGCATTTCTTTTCCCAGCGTCACGTGACGGCATCGCTGCACAACTCGGAGGCACGGGTCCCTTTCCGCGCCTTTGATTGGACCAGCGCCGCGGAGGCTCGCCCAAAAAGGAACGCGCTGATTGGCTGCCGCTCAATAAATTCTGACTACCATGTGTTGTTAGAGGGGAAGCTATGCTGTTTTAACAGGATGCACCGTAGCCAGCAGATGTGCGGGGAAGGAGGTGGAAGTGGGGGTGACGGACACACTGATAAGATGTCAAGATTAACCTGGGCCATCAGAACAACCTGCAGTTACTGCTAGAGATAAAGCTGCCGTGGAAGCACTGCTACCCAGTTGTCTAAGTTCCGTGAAGCGAGAAAATCAGGGAGGCACACAGAGCATCTGTTTATATCAAATAGCACAACATCCACCCATAACATGGATAGATGGATGGAACAAACATGCATGTGGACAGCTGGATGAAACCTGTGCAGGAACCAGAAGAACCTGCAGACTCAACACTCAGAGGCTCCAGCCTACCAGAAGATTCAAATCTTCCAGTTGTGGGGCAACAGTGCTCTGAATCACGTGACCGTGATTTACTCCACCTATGAATCTTTTTAGGTAAACTTGACTATCCCCTTCACACACGTTGGTCCAGAGCAAAAGGAAGAAAGAGCCCGATATTAGAAGTTTCTTTTTAATTTTTCAGTGTTAAAAATAAAACACTATTTAGAAGATTTAGAAGGGTTGTTACCAGTTTGGTAACTAATCCAGTGGAAATGTTGCCTGTGCTTCTGATTTCCAGCCAACCTGAATAACATAGTCGCTAATAGCAACTCGCTATGATTCCTTAAAATCACAGACATGTGTGATGCTTTCACATCTGAGCTCTTGAAGTCCAGGTGTTTATGAGTAAAAAGTGCACGAATTCATCATGAATGTAATGACAGGATACGTGTGACATATGTGCACATTCGAGCAGCTCCAAATTTACCTGAAATCAGGCAGAACTGTCACACTGTCTCATTCAAAAGAGGACAGAAGAGTAAATTGTGCCTATGTGCGCCGTTGGCTCAGCAAGTTATCATCTTAAATGCGAAAGAATAAGAACTTAAAATCCCCACAGAAGGTCTGCTGGCCAGAGGCATTTGGCATAAACAGATATGCAAAAGGTTCAAAGTGCTGCACAAAAATTCACAATGTAGGAAATGAAGCCCCTGATGATCTAAATCTCCTGAGGTAGGACTTCCATTATCCATCATTCACGCCTTCACAGTCGCATCCTTTTCATTTTCATTCTCCATGTTTTTTAAGTCTAACACAAAGTCTGCACATTTATTTTTCCCCTGTCAGGATGTTTTTTTGAACTCAGTCGAATTTGCCATGAAGCTACGAGTGCAGACATGAAACTGGCTAAACTTGGACTTCAGTTTTCAGAAATTCTGCTTTGGCAGAAGTTACTGCACCTTCGTTTACACGGAAATAACATTTTATTACCACCTTATCTATTTTTTTCCTCAAATTTACATAGATTAGTTATTGTTTCATTAAGGAATAAGCAATTAACTCATTACACAATAGATTATTTATGATTACAGGTGATTTGTTGTTATATGCAGGATCTCTAGTGATCCAAAGCATGTATCTGGTTAATGAATTAATGTTTTCGTGTTGTGCATTGAAAATTCGAGAGGGCAAAGTTGTAATTGTCACGCCGACCACACCGGGGCGCTGTTATGCTGCTGAAGAAATACACAACGATACAGAAGTGTGCTTACAGGATTAGTTCTCAACAGCATTTTGTCTGATACCGGAGACTTTTGATTACAACAGTGCTGCTGATGAAGATGTACCTGAGTAGTTAGTTTTGTGTCATCCATGAATCTGGTTAATTAAAAGCATCAGAAGAGGAAGAAACTGACACAGATGTGGATTAACCCTTCTTCTAGAATGCAAACTTTTTCTGTGGAGAACTTCCCTGATTTTTAAAATTAATTTCTGTTGCTGTTGTTTTCTGGGACCATTCTTAGTCCAGGTCTCGTTAACTTGCCAATAATGATCACAGCACTCTGAATGACTAAGTCTGTCCAATAAGCATCATTAGAGAAGTAAGGGCCGAGCTGTTAGTCAGATTAACTCTGCTGGTACAAACACAGGTTTTCCAGAACACATTTCCAGTGTGAGAAGTCAGAAGATTTCATAGACGGGAAAGCTGTGGCTGAGCTCATGTGGCTGCAGAAAAGCAATGGCTTGCCAGAGGTCAGTAATGATGCAGCGAAAGAGGAATGCGTTTTCACTTTGCAACCTTGCTCAGGCCTCTTCCAGACACCAAAAACTGACTTGCATTTTTGGCTCAGCAGCACTACATCACTTTCTGTGGCTCAAAAACAGTTTCATTACTGGGGTGTTGATATAAAGGATATTAGAGAAGAGGGATTTCCATCCACTACCAGTGTCCACTGATCACTCAGGTGACCCATTACATCTTAATATTCAAGTCTGTTAAAATATTCACAGCAGAAGTACACTATGACAGGCCTGTGTTGAACTGGGACTGTGTGTCAAACATAGATTTATATTCTGGTATGTTTTCAGTATTTAAGTTTGTGTGTCTTATGGCCATCATGCAAAAACTACAAGACCTACAGTTTCATGAAACTTGGTGGAACTTCTCCAGTTATAATGAGGATCTGGATCACTTCCCAAGTGGCCTTAGTTTTCTTTTATATTGAGTTCATTTGTCTGCTGTAAGACTGCAATCAACACTTTAAAGATAAATATATCATAAGATACTATTTTCTGTTTTCTTTAACAAAATTATTCATTGATGAAGTCTTTAATTATCAGAAAATAATCTGAAGACCAAATACACATACGCATTTTGAAACACTGACAGTTATTAGTAATATATAATACAATAAACATTATCAATTCAATTTTATTTATATGGAGCCAAATCACAGCTCAAGGTGCTTTATATTGTAAGGTAAAGACCCTACAATAACACAGAAAAGCACAACAATCAGATGGCCCCCTTTGAACAAGCACTTGGCAACGGTGGGAAGGAAAATCTCCTTTTTAACAGCAAGAAACCTCCAGCAGAACCAGAGTCAGTCGTCTACTGCGACTGGTTGGGAGTGAGGGGAGGAAGAGATTAATAATAACATCATAGTTCACGTTTTAAAAGAATTTTAAAGTCAAATGTGTTTGAGCAGTTCAAGCATCTCCTTGTGGAGATGTGAGAGAATCTCGGCACAAAGTGTTGACGTGCTGAGAATGATCTTCATGGTTTGGAGGAACTGATGAAACGCATCCTTCTCACTGCTAGGCAAAACCAAACTTCACACCTTGATTTATACTCCATCAACATGAAAGATAAGATAAGATAAGATAAGATAACATAAGATAAGATAAGATAAGATAAGATAACCTTTATTAGTCCCACACGTGGGAAATTTGTTTTGTCACAGCAGGAAGTGGACAGTGCAAAAGTTATGAGGCAAAAATTAGAATACAACATGAAAGCTGTAATATTCCACATTATTTTGAGGACATAAAACTTTTATTTAAAAAAAACTCTCAACATATCAAGATCACATTTGTTAATGCATGTACACTGTTAGAAGAATGAACATATAAAAGTTGACCTGCAAGAATACCTTCATGCATTTACACTTCATGCTGTGCAGCTTTTCTGTTGTGCAAAGGGGCCCTCTGGTGGTTTGGAAGGGCTACGGAACTCAGACAGAAGATGAATCTTTACACTAAACGTGACTAAAATGGGAAAATATTAAAGCCAGTAAAACAACACATTTATTCACATGTCATGGCTACATTTCAAAGTAAGACTTTTTAAACCTTCTACCATTCTTTAAACCTATAAGATTCAGAAAACAATTAGGACAACTTAAAAACAAAATCCCCCAAGCGAATTCCCAAATAACCTATAAACTTAGTGCAATTAAGTATCTCAAACAACTCAAACACATGTAAATATAAAAAGAAAAGAAAAATCTCAGTCAGAAGACCCCATCTCTAAATATATCCCAGAAGTATGACACATACAAAACATGTTTTGCGTCAATAACATTTCCAGCTGAGCATTTTTACACGCAGTTGTGTCATTTTCAAAACTATAACCTCCAATGGTGAAGAATTTATATATATATATGGTGATTAGTACAGCTTTTCCAGCACGCCAGTCAAACACGTGGTGAACTGGGGAATCTGGGCTGCCTCCTGATTAATTGACAACAAATTACATGTCATGTCTACTTCAATAAATTAGGGCCTTATGGCTGAATACAAGATAATGACATGAATAAATACAAGGTACTGGCTCATTGTCCCTTTTAAAGGAATCCTTCAGCTGCACAATTTCCAGACAACTTTGATGAGAAAGATGACATCAGTGCAATATTTCAGCCTCCCTGGTTATACTGGATGCACACGTGGACTCAGAGTAGATAAGACTGCACAGATGTATTGTAAACTCAAGCTCAAGTCAATATTGATCTGTCCACACCCTCTTCTACAACAGAAGGACAGGGAGTGGAGAGTTCATTTTACCATAATATCTCAGCCCATCATGCGTAAGACTACAACCACTACGGCAGCAAACGGCTGGAACACACGGCTCAGAAGGAAGGTATTTTAAACATGCTTTCTAATCACTGGGTAATTAGGTTACATGCTAGCTGTAAATGAATCTCCATAGCAGCCAAGCTGAGCATATGGATGAGGAGACTGCAGCAGAATGCACCACACAAGGAGTGTCAAGGCTCCAGTGTTGTTTCTTAGCAACAGCACACGGCAGGATATCATTCCCTGTCGTTCCTTATCCAAGAATACAAAAAACAAAGTTATTTGATACAGTCTATTCTGTGTGCTGTGTCATTTCACTCACAATAAGAGTGACGGAAACACAGCATTCATGGACCTTATTGTATTAAAAAGACACTACATTTGGCATGTGGTATGATCTTAAAGTGGCAGCATGATTCTTCTGTGACTGCTTTATATCCTTGAATATCTATAA